AATAACACACACTATATAAATCAGTCTCACACCACCATTCAACGCCGAGTATTGTTTTAGCATCTATGCTGTTCAGCGTAGCTACTTTACGAAGTCAGTTCCCTGTCCTTGTTTAAGTTTTCTAGTTCTAGTTCCCATAGTCTAGTCAAAGCCTTGCATTGCCTGTTTCCTGATCTTCTGTCTGTGTATCTTGGATTAACCCTTTGCCTTGTTGTTTCGTACTGTGTTTGCACCTCGCCTGGACTATTGCTCATGTTATTGGATTTCCCCTCTTGTTAAGCCCTTTGGATTATGTTCGCTGTTGATCGACCTATGCCTGTTTATAGGATTACTCTCGTGTCTTGCCCTCAATATACCTGTTGCCATTGTCTGACCCTCACCTGTTTCTGACCATTCTACACTCTTAAAAATAAAGGTGCTTCAAAAGGTTCTTCAAGCGATGCCATAGAAGACTCATTTTTAGTTCCACAAAGAACCATTCAGTCAAAGGTTCTTTAAAGAACCATCTCTTTATTACTTTTTTATAATCTCAAGAACCTTTTTTCGCCACAAAGAACCTTTTGTGAAACAGAAAGGTTCTTCAGATATTAAAGGTTCTTTACGGAACCATTTAGACAAAAAGGTTCTTCTATGGCATCGTGAAGCACCTTTATATTTAGGAGTGTATGAATAAAGCTCTAATAAAGTTAAATGTCATGTTAAAGTTAAAGTTTCGAATAAAGTTCTAATGTCATGGCGAAAGTTTGAGCAAAACACGCTAACTGTTCTGTCTTTGGCTGCTCAGACGAGCACAAAACACTAAAGTCCCAGCCTCAGAGGAGACAAGACAGCAGTGGATTTATTGATTTATTTACTGCATATTGCTGCTGCCACACAGATCTAAAATAAACATGCAATTTATTTCCCAGCTGTTTACCTTCACAGACATAACCGACTGTTTTTTGTAACTCGTGTGTTTTTAACGTAAACTTGTGTGTGAATGAGAACTTAGTTTAGTACTCAAATGCTGTGACAGCCACTTTCTGTCCGTGTGCTTCAGATGTGTACGCTCAGAAAACCATATATCTGAAGTTTAAAGGGGTCATATGATGTTGCTAAAAAGAACATTATTTTGTGTATTTGGTGTAATAAAATGTGTTTATGCGGTTTAAGGTTAAAAAAAACATTATTTTCCACATACTGTACATAATTATTTCTCCTCTATGCCCCGCCTTTCTGAAATGCATTGATTTTACAAAGCTCATCGGTCTGAAAATCGATGTGTGCTCTGATTGGCCAGTTATCCAGTGTGTTGTGATTGGCCAAATACCTCAAACGTGTGACGGAAATGTTACGCCCCTTAACATACTGTGATGCCCTGTCCGGTCGGAGCGACGATTCAAAAATATTAAAACCCATTATAAACGAGGCATTTGTTGCATCCAGTGGGGACATAATTATGGATTATAATGACTTATACTGTCTTTTTAAACATAAAACCATGTCTGCATTTGTGATCGGAGAAATAACAAACAACAAGCGCTACTCTACACTGCTCAAAACTCGCATTTGAATCATCAGTGGCAAATTCTTTATATATAAAAAACGTACGTACAGTCTGTGAGTCAGAACAGCCGGCATTGTAGTCTACTCTCCCAGAATCAGGAAACAGTCCTCCGTAAAATGTGCTGCACACATCTGGATATTTGGGTTGAAGTGTTCTGGAACAGTGTTGTAAATACAACTTAACCACTGATTTCTAGTCATGTCCTCTTTTTGTCAGGCCAAACAAAGTAGTTTCACTTTCACAACGAAACACACAGCGTCACACACGGCGGGCTAGAGTGAGCAGAGGGTGGCGGGCTAGAGTGAGGAACGGCCGGCGGGCTTGAGAACGGCGTGGCCGGCGGATTCGATGAAGGAGCGGACGGCGTGCTTGCGGCAACCACATGTGACGAACCCGAGCTGGACTCCGCTTCGTCTACGTTTAAAGCCGATCCGGCGATCCACAGCGCAAAGTTGATGTATTTCCTCAGCGACCAGCACGGATCAGCTCCAGGCATGACGAAGCGGATATCATCCTCTTTTGGAAGGCCAAACAAAGTAGTTGCGCTTTCACAAAGAAACACACAGCGTCTTCACGACATGGCAGCAGCAACAATACTACAGCGAGAATAAAAGTTACGCCTTCTTTCTTTGGGTGAATATTTGGGCGGCGTTATGTAAATCTTCCCACATCGTGACGTAGACATGTGGGGGCGTGTTAGAACGAGCCGTTTTAGGTAGGCGTGGTTGACTCTTAACTTTTATAAAGAATATCTCTTTGGATTTGAGACTTTAGTCTTTGCAACTTTACAGATCTTCTTTATGCACCAAGAGCTTGTAACACTCCAAAGAGAAAGGAAAAATTGAAATTGCATCATATGACCCCTTTAAACTCATATGGTTTAAAACCCATGATTTCAGCGCGATGAACATGATAATCAGAACCAAAACAGATGTTTTAGCAGGTACGAGCTGTAATGGCTCAGCTCTGTTCTGGAAAAGCTGGCAGGGAGCAGCAGTTCATTTGCATTTAAAGAGACAGGCCCTTCTGCTTCCACTCAAAATGGGCATTTTCAAAATGATATAATAAATTATCTGTGGAGTATGTTGAGCTGAAATTTCACAGACACATTCTGGGGACACCAGAGGCTTATATTACATATTGTAAAAAGGGGCATAATGTGTCTCCTTTAAACAAATAAGGTGAAGTACTCAAATTATTAAATCTGAAATACAAATAAATAGAAATATTGAAAAAAACTAATACAAATGAAATAGCACATAACTTAATTAAACTGAAATTAAAATGAAAAACTGAAAAATTAATCATTAAAATTGAAAATATTAATAAATACTATAAAAGTATATAAATAATACTAAAATAACACTACAGGTAAAAAAAATTAATAAATAAAAGATGTAAAAATTTAGTTATTGTAGTTCCACTAGTAACCTGCAAGTGGCAAGAGTCTTGTGTTTCACTGTCAACTGTGTTTCATTCACCTGAGCAGGTGAATCTGACAGGAGCAGATCAAATTATATCACAAACGTTAGATATATCATCATGAAAGCAGCACTGAAAAAGCATATTGTATGAAAATCCATTCTTTCAAACAACTCCAACTTTTTACATAAGTTACAACTGCTGAGAGAATGCAGCTCCACAGGACGAGGATGTGTGTATGTTTTTCTACACTGGTGGGGACTTAAACCTGAATACACATCAACTCATGGGGACTTGTGTAACCGTGGGGACCTAAATTGAGGTCCCCATGGGTACAGAAGCTTATAAATTATACAGAATGAGTTTTTTTTAGATTGTAAAAATGCAGAAAGTTTTGTGTGAGGGGTAGGTTTAGGTGTAGGGTTGGTGTAGGGCGATACAAAATACAGTTTGTATAGTATAAAATTAATTACGCCTATGGAGATTCCCTACAAGGATAGTCAACCAGACTGTGTGTGTGTGTGTGTGTGTGTGTGTGTGTGTGTGTGTGTGTGTGTGTTTTCTCTATATGGGGTGTGTAGCGTATACAGAGATATATATACTCAGCAGAG